TAGGATCCTCCATAAAGCGACTGACGTAGCCCACGGCGAACGCAATGTCCGGCCTCGTGTGGACTAGGTAGCGCAGACCGCCGACGATGCTCCGGTAGAGTGTTGCATCCACCTTCGCCGCGGTGCTGGCATTCGTCAGCTTCAGCCGCTCCTCCATCGGAGTCATGCATGGCTTGCACTCAGCCATGCCGCTCCGTTCCAACAGCTTCGAGGCATACGCGCTCTGACCGAGCATGAGTTCCTCCTTCCCCTGTCTCACCTTGATGCCGAGGTAGTAGGAGAGTGCGCCAAGATCACTCATTCGAAAATGAGCCGCCATCTCGCATTTGAAGCTGTTGATGTCCTCTGTGTGCGCACCGGTGATGATCAAGTCGTCCACATACACATCGATGACAAGTTCCTCCTTCCCCCATCGCCACGTGTAGAGCGCGTGCTTGGTTGCGCACCGCTGGAACCCAAGCTCACCCTGCATGGCGTCAAGCTTGACGTTCCATGCTCGTGGGGCCTACCGCAGCCCGTAGAGCGCCTTGCGTAGTCAGAGCACCCTTTGCTCCTCTCCCTTGATGGCAAAACCTGGAGGTTGCTTGACGAAGACCGTCTCTGTCAGTTCACCGTTGAGGAAGGCCAATTTAACGTCCAAGTGATGGACGCGCCAATCCTTTGCTGCTGCCAAAGCTAGTAGCAAATGGATAGACTCCATGTGCGCTACTGGCGCAAAGACTTCTTCGAAGTCTATGCCCTCACACTGAACAAAGCCTCGGGCAACGAGGTGCACCTTAGTGTTTGACAATGGCGCTGAGCTCGTCCCGCTTGACCTTGTACACCTACTTCAGGCTGATCGGACAACATCCTAGAGGTGGATCAATGAGCTGCCATGTCTCGTTTTCCTCGATCGCCTTCATCTCCTCCAGCATCGCCCGTCGCCAGTTTCCATCGTGCTCGACCAGCGCGAACGTGGGTGGTTCCTCTGTGCTGACAAGCAATAGCTCTTGATCATTGAGCAGCTGACCAGCCAGGCCTGAGGGCCCTGTGACACCGATGATGTCATCCATCCTACAGAACCGCACCTCCTCACCTTTGTGGAAGGCATCCACGAACTCAGTGATGTCACTTAGAGGTGAGGCGAACTCGATCAGTGTTGATGGAGTTCCCTGTTCACGTCGGAGTGCTTGACACAGCACCTGGAGTGCTCGGCACTCCGGTTGCAGTGCTCGACACTTCTTCTGGACAGCTCGTCACTACTCCTGCAGTGCTCGACACCACTGTAGGAGTGCTCAGCCTCAGTCTAGGAGTGGTCGGCACCACTGCAAGACCTCTTAGCTCCGCTACGGGAGTGCTCGGCACCCATCCTTGAGTGGTCGCCACCACTACAGAACCTCTCGGCACCACTCCTGGCGTGCTCGGCATCCCTCTAGGAGTGCTCGGCATCCCTCCCGGAGTGCTCGGCACCGCCCCAGGAGTGCTCGGCTCTATTGTTGGAGTGCTCGGCACCCCTCCCGAGTGCTCGGGACCTCTTCCCCAGCGTCTCCACCACCGTGGATGACCAAGTGCTCGATGATGAAGGTGCTGGTGAAGCTGCCAGCTTCCCCCGTGCTCGGACTGCTCCAGTCCCAAGCCGCCTTCTCGTCGAACACAACGTCGCACGAGACAAGTACCTTGTCTCCGCATGGGTCATAGAGCCAGTACGCCTTGGTATCCTCCGCGTAGCCTAGTAACACCATTGGTGTGCTCCTGTCCTCCAGCTTGGTGAGGATCGGCTTCGTCTTCCTGACGTGGCCAATGCAGCTGAATGTATAGAGGAAGGACACGCTCGGCTTGCACCCATACCAAGCTTCGAACGGTGTCTTGCCCGTCAGGGCCTTGGTCAGAGCGCGGTTGAGGATGAACACTGCCATGCTCACCGCCTCACCCTAGAACCTTGCTGGCATGCCTTTGGCCTTCATCATGGATCGAGTCATGCCGACCACCGTCTGGTTCCGCCTCTCTACCACGCCATTCTATTGTGGCGAGTACGGCACGGTGTGGTGTCACGCCACACCCTGATCCGCGTAGTATGCAGCGAACTCTACTAAAGTGAATTCGCCACCGCGATCAGTCCTCAGCACGCGGAGCTTCTTGCCGCTCTCGGCTTCCACGTGCATCTTAAACTTCTTGATCGCCGTCGCCGCTTCGTCCTTGCTCGTCAGGAGTTGCAGCCACATGTAGCGACTACAATCATCCACGAGCAGGATGAAGTACCGCCGACCACTGTTTGTGGCTGGTGTGATCGGCCCGCAGAGGTCACCGTGGATGAGCTCAAGAGCGTCCTCCGCGCGATACTTGGCCACCTTTGGGAACGGCAGCCTCCTCTGCTTCCTGGCTAGGCAGCTGTCACATAGCTCACCTCCGTGCTCGATGTGGGGTAGCCCTTGGACCATCTTCTCCAGCCGACCAAGCGCGTCGAAGCTGAGATGTCCGAACCGGGCATGCCACAGCCACGGTTCCTCAGTGTGCCTTGCCGCCAGGCACACCGGCTGCTCTACCTTCAGGTCGAGCAGGTACAATCGGTTCAAGAACCTCTTCACCTTGGCAAGAAGTCATTGTTCCCGGTCCCTGATCCTGAGGACTCCGTCCTTGATCAGAACCTCACTACCACGCTCATCTAGCTGACCAATGCTGATGATGCTTGAACGCAGCTGCGGGATGCAATATACATCCGTTAGCGCGTGGTGCTCCCCATTCTGGCACCTGAAGATGATGGTGCCGCGCCCTTGGATTGCCACCCTTGAGCCGTCACCAAACGTCACCGTACCGGTAACATCGTCGTCGAGCTCGGAGAAGGCTGCCTTAGAGCCCGTCATGTGGTTACTGGCACCAGAGTCTAGATATCACCGTTGCTCCTGGTCGGCGCCCACACGTCCGAGGTGGACTTGGGTGCGTGGTTCGTCGAGGTTGACAGCCTTCAGGGCCTTCCCAGGTCCTTTCGTCGCATCTTCCCTCTCCTCGGCCTCGACGTCGTGTAGTGCACAGAACGTCGCCATCAAGATAGTGGCCTCATCATCATCATCAGCTTGCGCCAGATGAGCCTCAGCCTTCTTCTCCTGCTTGCGATTTGGGCACTTCCGTGCCCAATGGCCCGTCTTCCCGCAGTGCCGACATGCATTGGGGTCGACCTGCTTCTTCTTCACCGAAGAAGCCTTGCCGCGGCGTTTGCCATCACCACCGCGGTTGGAGGAGGCTACCTTCCTAGAGTTCCTCCGAGCAGCCCACTCTTCTTCTGTTAGTAGCAGTTTGCCGCTGTCCTTCATTGCTATCGCCTGCTCCAGGCGCTCGTCCACAGCCCACAGACGGCCTGTCACATCCTCAATGGTGAGGGTGGACAAGTCCAGCATCGTCTCTATGAAGAGAGCGATCTGGATGTACTTTAGCGGCATGGAGTGGAGGTACTTGGAGACCGCCTCCTCTTCGTCGATGGTGACGCCGTAGCTCTTTAGCTTGTTGATGAGCGTCTGCAGGCGGAGGGAGAAATCCTCCACCATTTCACCATCCTTGAACTTGAGGTTGGCGTACTCCTGCTTCAGAAGCTGGGCCGTCGCCTTTTTTGCGCGGTCGGAACTGACGCGCATCGTTGCAATAGCCTCCCACGCCTCCTTAGCAGAGCTCTTCGCCCCTAATGGCTTCCTGTACTCCACCGGTACAGCAGCGAGGATAGCCTCCAACGCTGACATGTCATCTTTGTCATTTTCAGTACCCTTGTCAATAGCATTCCAGAGCCGTCGGGCTCTAAGCTTGACCTTCATGGTCACCAACCACTCTCCATAGTTGGTGCGAGTCAGCGTCCGCCAACTGGTACCGCTGACCTCCCGCACCGTGCGAACAACGACCTCCGGTCGTGGCTGGGCAGCCACAACAGTGCCACTGCTATCGCCCATCTTCGAACCGTTCGTCATCGCCAGCGGTTAGTCCGGCGATGGCGCTTGTATGGCTCTGATACCACTTGTTAGCCCACAGGATCACCGGCTCAGGTGAGTCGATCACTCACCAGTCTTGCCGAGCACACACCAGCTATGCCGACCACGAACAAGCGTTGTCCGACCACAAACACTATGGCTAGAGGTAGAAGAAGAGGGAGAACAGAGCATACACACACAACAGAGACACCAGCGTTGGCCGGAGCCCTGTATAGGAGATGGCAAATATGAACTCTCTTTGTTGAGTTGCAATGGCAAACTATATATACAACTCTATCTATCTAGTCCTAGTACAGCTGCCCTGCTGCAACAGTGACTAGATAACACAGCAGAACTGACTTCTACAACTATCCCTGCATGTGGCTACAGTCCGACAGGTGAGCCGTTCGGCGCCTGCCTCTACAGCGGCTACAGTACCACAACAGGGAGCCTTTTCGACGCCGCCTTCCCTTGCTGTGTGTTCATACAAGGAAATAGATTATCTAACAATCCTCAGCTTTCAGTTTTCTTAAAGATGACCTGCAATCATTTCATTCCAGAAGAATAGAGAGGTTAAACGGCATGCAAAGAAAATCGAAGGATTTATTGTGGTGACCTTTTACTCAGCACAATCTGGTTCCTCAAGATTCGGTTACAGTGATTGGTTCACGTTGTGGTGAGAATTTTTCTGTGTACAAGGTTTGTCCACTTTCTAGTTCTACTCTTCTCTATTCACTATTTCTTCAAAAGAAATTTGTAATGAAGTTGTGCTTAAATCTTTGATGTAGATTAAAGACAAAATGCTCGTCCCTTAATTTGATGCATGCGCAAGTTGGTGGACTCAAGGGCCTGGTTCTAACTTGCAGGTTGTGTCCTCACATCTCCGGCATATGTGATTTATTTTGCTACAAAAACTCCCTTTTACACTTTTTATTGGTAAAGTTGTGTATTTTAACTTTTGACAAGCAATTTTTGTAGTCTAAACTTGTATACTGGAACTTTTGACAGGCAATTTTTGTAGCCTGAAGCCCTAAACTTCTCTTTACTCATTAGATTGAACTTGCAAGAGATATGGGTTATGCTGCTGCGAGATATGGTCATGTGATGTTTCCAGAGAATGTTCATGAGCTTGCTCTTCGTTCTGTAGAAATTTTACTTGAAGGAGTTGGTAAAGGTTTGTCAATTTAACTTTTCTTCCACTCACTGTAGCATTGGCTCAATTCAAACTCTATGGTACTCTATAATGAATTTGATGCCATATTAATACGAAAATTGACTTGGAGCTTGAAATATGTATCAACATCCAAATTCTCTTCCTTTTCGTGAATATATCTAGAGCTTTGTGCCTGATGATTTGTTATGTTTACCTCAAGAAATGAGGCGATTATAAGGATGTGTATGTGAAATGAGACATGCTTTCATGGGTCATATCAATAGTTTAACCTTGTACAATATGATTATTTCTTCCTTTATTTCAATATTGTGTTATGGTTTTGTTTTCTTATTTATTTCTTGCAACTCTATCCACGTGGGTGATAGCATTATTTCTTTATGTGTGCCTGTCATATTTGTGCTGGCTTATTTGTGTCACAACTTCCCCTTTTTTTCTCAGGTTGGGCTTCTTGAGTCTATTATTCAGACAATGGATCCACTGCGATTGAAATTGCTCTGAAGATGGCATTTCGTAAATTTTGTCTTGATCATGGAATTATGGATGGCAGTGAAAATAGTGCAAGAAATGAAAGAAACATTCAGTTGAAGGTATGTGACGGCCATACTAAACATCCTTGTCTTACTTAATTATTGACTGAACTACTAAACAGTTCATAGTCAGAGAATGATGTTTTTGTTTATTCTTCACGACCATCAACCTCAGTTGATCACCATAACCCTGTGTTTATCTCATTAATTATATTTCATATTTGTTGGGACAAATTAATATAAATGTTGTATAAATAATTGTAAATGCTCATTTTGTGCATCCTAATATATTTCTTAACTACTGATTCCTCTCTAGGTACTTTCTCTAAATGGTTCCTATCGTGATGATACTCTGGGTGCTATGGAAGCTCAAGCTCCATCAACTTATACATCTTTTCTTCAGCAACCATGGCAATGAATTTGAGCACTGTAGTTACTATACTGAATGTTTTTAGACTTCTCTACTCTTCTTCAGTTCTCTTTTGGAATTGTGCCCTTTTCTGTCACTTCACTATGCTGATTGTCTTGGTGTTTATACTCTTCTTCATTGGTTCTCTGTGGTCTTTTCTGTACCAGCCTTCTCTTTGATAGCCTAATAGGATTTTCTTTTCTAGTTTTTCTTGAGAATTTAGTAAGACTCGGCCACACTCCTTTTTTTTACAACCTCCTACCTTGCTGTTGGCTATCATATCAGTAAGTAAAGCTGAGATCAATTACATGAGGTTTCTTTTGTACGTATTGAGGTTAGGGACTTTTTCTAGATCCTCCAACTGTGTATGTTAAAAGTGAGGTCTACAATATTTCTTTGCCTCAATCAATGCAGCATGATCCTCAGACATATGGTGATACATGTCAGTTCTTGTGTTTGACACATCGGATCTAATTCCTTATGGGTGTTTATTTAATTTGTTCTTTGATTCAAAAAGCAGGCTTTTCTTCACAAGCTGAAGTCTTTTGCAAGATCAGGGACAAAACATTTGCTGCTGATTTGTATTCATCCTATATAAAATAGAAACTATAAGAATTTTCTCTATCAAGTAGTTCTGAACATCTTGCAGCACTAATTATAGAACCAGGTAAATAAAGTTTCACTCTTTGAGCATCTTTGGAATATTTCCATTCTTTTGCTCTTTAGCCATTAGTATGCCTACTATCATTTCATACTAACAGCTGACAAAATCTCAGTACTTTTCCATGCCATTTACTGCTTCAACCTCATTAGCCCATATTTGTGTAGTAATACAAGGTGCACGTGGAATGCTCATGAAAGATCCTCTTTTCCAGTGAGTACTTGTCTGTGAGTGTAGAAGTCGAAAAATACCTGTCATATTTGATGAGGTATTTACAGGATTCTGGCGTTGTTGTTGTTGTTGTTGTTGTTGTTGATGTGTTTGGGACTGAAAGGCTATGTTGTTGTTGTTGTTGTTGTGTTCATAACCTTGGTAACTTCTCTTTCAGTCTGCTTCAGAGTTACTTGGTTGCTTACCTGATATCGCCTGCTATGCGAAATTGATGACTGGGGGAATTGTACCATTAGCTGCAACCTTAGTAACGGAGGAAGTTTTTGAATCCTTCGAAAGTGACTCTAAGGTAATCATCTTGAATGTGTTTGCATAAATGCATAATTGGTCTCAACCATCTTGAAGCATGAATGCATGATCTTAGATGTCATGTCAAAACTATCACAATGAATGCGTCATTACAGTTTAGCACTGATTCTATTTTTTACTTGGTCCAGCTTACGGCGCTCTTACATGGCCATTCCTACACTGCTCATGCCATGGGCTGTACTGCAGCACTAAAAGCAATGCAGTGGTACCGGGATCCATCCACCAATTCGAACCTTGATACTGACCACATGAAGCTCACGGAGGTAATGAAATATGTTGTTTGAGTAGGTAGAGCTGGTTATTTAAAGTACTCCATAATCTTTTCTTAGGCGTAAGCAGATTTTACGTTTTTGAGGTTAGGTAAGTCGTGGAGCACACACCGAGGCATGCTCCGATAGATTCAAAGCGGCATTCAACCAAGAACCATCTCCAACAGCAGATAGCTCCCTTCTGTTTAGGAATACAAACTGATGAGACCAGATGTCTAGGTCATTGCAAGGCAATGAGATTATTCACCTGACGCACAAACGTTGCATACCAGAAGACCAGTTACGCACCTCCCATATGTACCAGAGGAGGGTCAGTAGGATGGAGTAAACAGGTCAGGTGGAGATGCAGTAGTCCAGAGCGTCTTCAGCGTCCATTTGAATTTAAATTTTGTAGTCCTGTACTACTATCGCACACCACAATGTTGTGGTCCTAATATGAAAAGTATAGCTGATTAGCTGAACCTATAGTAATTTGAAATTGCTTTTTTTTTTTCTCCGTAGGAGGGCTGTGTATCATTATAATATTGATTGACCTAGATTCTGTCTCCCTAATGGTCCATCTCATATACGAAACAACACAAGTAACAGAAGTACAGAACAGATACGGAAGTCAAACCTGATCTTCTATATAGGCTGACCCTACTGGTTTCTGAGCCGCAGCCTCCATCTTAGCAGCTTGCTTCTTCCTAATTTGGTACTCGATGCCACATATAACAGATTCATATTTTTTTTAGATAAAGCGTAGTTAATATCTGGCTTCATCTACGTAATGTAGAATCAGGCCATTATTACAGTGTTGCAGCACCCAAACACACCGACTGAGTTCTTACAAGCAAACACGAAGCTTAAAACGACACATGAAAGTTTAGACTTATGAAGATCAATTGTTCTAGAACCACGGCAAATAATGATGGATCTGGTCATTCCTTTGTTTGTGTACTGATGGAGACCTCAGTATTTTCTGCTGTACCCATGGAGTTCATTTGACTCTTGCTTCTTCTCCTCATGGTGCATTCTGTGGCTTAATTTGGTGAAATACAAGTTCTTACAGTTCCAGTTTGGGCCAAGTTTTGTGCTTAATTGTGATAATTTATTTAAGTAATGCTGGATTGTTATTTACCGCTATGCTATGAGTTTCATGCTGCCTGTGCAGGTACGCTTCACTCTACGCAAGTTCCTTGGTGCAACAGCTCCGCAAAGAGGATGATATTTACATTAGGCCCCTGGGTAACGTGATATACCTCATGTGCTTCTATGCACACCCCAAGATAGCTGCACTCGACAACTCCTCAAAGTACACCGCAGGCTTTGTGAGCTCAATTGAGCCGGCTGGGAATATAGTTGATGAGAGCAGATTTTCGGAGTGGAACAGCCTTGTGCCAACTTAAGTTTCAGGCCATCAGTTAACCTTTTAAATGCTATACAGTGTTCATTATCATCGAATCTGAAACGTCAGAGTTGTTCTAGTGCAGAGGGTGCCGTTCCTAAGCTCGATGGTAGGATGATAAACTAGTTACTGAATGCTTTGCTGTGTTTCCAGTCGATCCGATTGTATGTACCAGTGAATTAATATATGGTTTATTACATTGTTGGTACTCATTTTTTTGATAGCTTGTTGGTATTCAGTTTTGGTTCCGTATGTAATTTTATAGGTGTATTGCCAAAGGTTTGCGACGTTTTTTTTGCAACAAAAGTTCAGAGTTGATGTACGTTTTAAAAACGGAAAATAAAAAAAAAATTATTCATGCCCAGTGGGACTCGAGAACCCACAATCGCCTGATTAGAAGTCAGACACCTTATCCATTAGGCCATGGGCGCCTATTGAATTTCTGATACATTTGTCTGTTATTTATCGACAACTTTAACAAACGCAGACTTTGCCCTCACCCCTATCCTATGAATAATAACACCATTAAGGTAGTGTTTGGTTTGGCATTTTATGATTATGGAGGGTAAGCAATCTGGTTACACACTTTTGGTTCGGTGTTGTCGGCAACAAGTTACAGTGCAATAGATATGGTCCTTTACAGTGCAATCGGTAATCCGGCAGATTGAAAGACTCTCCGGAGCATAGTCAGATCATTGTAATTCTGTACAAATTTTGTATCTGATGCCGTTACATTCCGAAACCAAACAAAGACCATAATGATTGACCCCAGTTTCAATTACATTTGTAACCTGGTTTAGTTACCATTTGCATTACTACTGGTGGAAACAAACACTATGTAAATCCTAGAATAAATCTAAAAAAAAAGACAAACACCCATGCTAAGATAAGTAAGGATTTGAACTTGGATGAGTAGGTTTCACCATAAGAAATCTAAACAACTGAGCTACACTCAATTCGCCACTATATGCCATTGTGAATAACAGAATGAAAAATATAACAAAATGTATTAGATTTTAATCTACAATGATGAAAATTACGTCTGAGAGGAAAAATAATGAACATTATGTGGTAGGAACCATCACCACCACCAACTAGACCAGAAACACTAAACACGTCAGCTCAATATGATGTACCTTCGCAAATCCAATATCCATATACATTACACAAGAGATAAAACTCACTGTGCCTCTGATAAAACTCTTCCTCCCTTTGCCTACATCCGAACAAATCATAAAAGGTAGAACGATGCACGGGCTGTTTTTTTTTTTAATCACACCACTTGTTGCTGCTGCTGAAGCTGCTTCCTTAGCTCCTTGCGCAATATCTTGCCCGATGGAGCCTTGGGGATCTTGTCCACGAAGATCACTTCACGGACCTTCTTGTAGTAGATCACCTGGAGCAGCAGAAGGTCCCTCAGTCAAAAGGGGGGAAAAGAGAGGACAAACGCATGTGTTCATTTTGTTTATCTTGAGTTCTATTATTCCATTCCTAATGTTCACATTTATCATCAGAACATGCATGAACTCAAACGGAGGCATCAAGAAAATAAATATCACCTCCTTGGCCACAAATTGTTTCACGTCATCTTCGCTGAGCTCGGTCCCTTTGGCCTTGGCCACAAAGGCGACTGGGATTTCCCCGATTTCTGGCTCGACTTGTTTCCTGCAATGATCGTAGGCACCATGCCTCTCAACAACTGAAATACGTACCGAGCATCCATTGTTGCACAAACCACCTAGCTAGTAGCTAGGGTTGAGAGCAGATGATGATGAGGTCAAGTGATTAATACCCGACGACAGCGGCATCGGCGATGCTTGGGTGGGTGATGAGCAGGGCTTCTAGCTCTGCGGGGGCCACCTGGAGGCCCTTGTACTTGATGATCTCCTTAAGCCTGTCCACGATGAAGATCTCGTCGTCGTCGTCCACAAAGCCGACGTCGCCGGTGTGCAGTCACTCGTCGGCGTCGATGCTATTCTTCGTCGCCTCCGGGTTGTTTAGGTAACCTGACCAAAAGCACATCGGCACATCAAGTCTTGGAATAATTAATATAAGTTCTAACCATCAAAGTTGCATTGTTCATATAATACTGTAGTTTATTGAAGAACAGAGAGTAACTTAACCAAAATCCAAAAAAAGGATAGACTATAATAATACTGGATGGCAACCAAACTAAAAGCTTGACAAATTCAGCTGCACAGTATACATCACTTCGTTAGGTGAATGACGGTAGCACCCAGTGTCTGTGAGAACTCCGACCAATTAGCAATTATCATAAAAAATAATGAAAAAAAGATCATAGATGTGACTACATTTCATTTCTTTCCATCAATTATATATTCCATTTTATGTCCGTGTCATGAGTCGGTAGTAGATCCAAACTCCCTCAGTCACTGATAGCTAAAATGTCATCTTTTTTGGGACAGAAGGTGTATATGTCAACAACTCAACACGTGCTTGTTGTGAATAGTTGTACATAACAATTTACAGTGGCCTAACTGAAAATCGACAGCTGCTGTCGCCATTGACATGCAAGCAGCTACCAAAAACAAACATTGCTGCAGGCCCCACTTCACTTCGGTGGGATCAGATCTAGGAGTATTCAGTACAGTCCATTCATGATGAATTCAGCTATCACACCAAGGGAAAGGAAGGAGACTTCCATAGCCAGACTGAATCGAAGCTGTCAGTTCTCAGCTAAGACCATTTAATTTAATGTTAATTTATTTCTGTTGCCAATCTGGACAGGAAGGTACACATGACATGGGAATGGAACGGTTCATCTAACTCGGCTTTGCTTTGAAGATTAGGATCACAGCACAAAGCCCTCCTACTTGAGCTCTCAAGTCTCAACCGCTGCACCAACAACAAATCACCAAGGGTGGGTGGACAACGTCATCGGTCGCAAGGGACTAACTGACAAATAAACTCCTCGCAATGCCGTCTGTCTGAACCATTTGTGCAGTGCAGAAGAGTATCACCGCTTGTTGACCGAGCTAGATTAATTTGCTGCACATTATTTATATATCACGTTGTGATACTTTATTCATGGATCAAAGTTGAGGAGTGATTAAGGATATGTGAAGCACTAACAACATGATGTGCAGTCTGCGAACCACTTGTGCATATATATATACACACATGGCAGTGTTATTCTACACCATAGGATATTCTACATCATAAGCCAAAACTGACTTAAAAAAATACTGAATAATACTAAACCATGTTTCAGTATAACAGCTTGGTGTAGAATAGTAAGTCAGATTAGATCTAGGGATGGATGGGATGTGTGGGCCAGCCAGCCAGCAGTCCATCCATCCATTCTCCAATGCAAGCATGGAGATGGAGCTGCCCGAAGTCAACATTTGGAGGTTGGAACGAACGAACGTAGGACGACGACGTGCAATGCAAGAGAGAAGAGACTAGTACCTTTCATGATCTGCTGGCCCCTGATGCAGATCTCTCCGGGGAGGTTCCGGCCGAGAGACTTACCGGTGTCCGGGTCGACGATCTTGAGCTCGGCGTTGCGCACCACCGTGCCGCACGCGCCGGACTTCACCTTGAAGGGCTCCTTGGCGAACGCCAGGCACATGGACAGCACCGGCCCGGCCTCCGTCATGCCGTACCCCTGCGTTGCGTTGCGTGACATGACACACACAGACAGATGAGGCAACACAGATACATATGAATGCAGCTGATTGTACTAGAGTGCTTTCATATACGGAGTAGAATTGAATTGAAGTTTCAGAGCATGCCAAAGTTTGGTTTGGGACAGAATAAAATTCGGAAGGGCGATACGAACGGATTAGTACGAGTATAGTATATTCTTAGTTCTGTTATCTGACTTTGCATCGTGTGCATGTGTTGTGGACGTGGTCGTCGAATAACAGAACAGATCCATCACCAACTTGCTTCTACTCTACTGGACACACTGAAATCCCTATGCCCAGTTTTTTTTACGCTTTTGCAAAAAAACTGGTTGAAGAATATTCTAGTTATTATTAGAGAAAGTCATTGACGAGCTATTTAATTTATTGTAAAATCCTTGGGATCCCCCCCCTCCGGAAAAAAATTACAGCAACCGCTAACAAAAAAAAAACTCAATCTATGAGGTAGATAGTCACCGGATATTACACACTTGGGTCGAGAAAACCCTCGTGTAAGAAAGATAGCTGATTTTTTTATCCTTATCTTGAGTGAATAGGAGTGCTACTAGAGGCAACTAACCAACCCGGCTAGGTATCCATTCACAATCCTCTAACTAAAACCCACCTAAGCTTACCCATTGTTCGTCCCGAGCAAAGCCGAGACATTGGTTGTTGATCAAGAGTTGTTGCAATGCCGATTACATTTCAAAAGTACAATATCAATAACACAAGTATTCTTCCTTTATTTGATTAAGTTGGCATTTTATCCACCCTTTTATCTTAATCTTTACATGAAATGCAAGGTTGATGTTGCACATCGAAGTCAGTAAACAAACAACCTCCTACCAATATAACCTTCAACATCATCAGCACCCAACCATGGAACTACCGTGTACCAAGTCAAAAGTCCGCAGCACTCAGAAGTTCAGAAGTCAGAACTACCGTGTACCGGCCGTGAGGGAGCAGCACTGAGCACTCAGAAGTCCAACTTTTCAACGACTCCGCAGCAAGAGTTATCTTAGTACTAGGACAAATTAGATAGATTGTTTTTTGTTATATATGTATGGATAATATAAAAAAGGAATATGAAAAATATTGCTTACTTGTTTCCAAAGTAAAAAACAACATTAAAAACCATTTAATTAAGTGATCTTCCCAAATTGACGTTTTCCCAAAATGTTGTCTAGATTGGATATAAAACATTCTATAATCTCATTGCTAAAACTCATAGGTAAATACCCCTTTTTTCAAAACAAAAAAAGCTATCAAATCCATAGTTCAGGTTCAGGGTGTTTGTTTCCAAATTGGTAATGATTAGCTCTAGTGGATCCAATGCCCTTTAGCTAATAGTCCAACTAGTAACTCATACTATCTCCGTCCAAAAAAATGCAATTATGGAATCCGCACTGATCAATCTAGATTAAATTTGATTGAGTTTATATTAAATAATATTAGTATTTATATGTCCAAATAAGTTTATTATAAAAATATATGCTAGAGCTAATCCAATGGTACTTATTTTATATCACAAATGTTAGTACTTTTTTATATAAATTTAGTCAAAATTTAAACGATTTGACTTTAAAAAAACGAGAATTGCATTCTTTTATGAACAGAGGGAGTACTAACAAACTATCTGGCTAAGCTGTTAACTTGCTATCCTAAGTCCATAATGAAATACCGCTAATAACCATTAGTTAAAACATCCAAACAGGACCGTTAATAGTAACCAAGTTAACAAAAGGCTATTGTATTAGCTATATAAGCTTTTCGCATCATAGTGTAGCACATGCCCGAATTAATCAATTGAGTTGTCAAGGTATCCTATGCTTGTGAAGGAATTTCTCCATGGGCGTCGTTGGATTGGATCAGTCAAACGTGCCAATGAATGATGTGAGGGTTGACCTACGCGAATATCAAAAAGTCAATCTAAGCCACTCAAGGAACATCCAACGGCCATGGAAAGCTTATCAAGACCATGCATCCAATCCCGTCATGGTTCACCGTCAGATTATCAATCCGTAGGCCCCAACGCTAACGTACCACATTCACATAGTAACATAATCAGGAGAAATGGGCACTCAGAATTCAGAAAAAGAAAAGGGAGTCTCAAAAAGTTTTTGTGGAGCTCAAGAAACTGCACACCCCCATAAAGGAGAAATGGGCACGACGCAAAATCTCAAAAATCAAGTGCAAAATCCAAAAGTGCAAGCATAAAAGAAAAAAAAATACAACCCAAATGAGACAAGCAAACATGAAAACGGAGAAAAACGGCCGGTGGCGTTTGGTGCGCGCGGTCTGGCATGGCATGGCACGGCACGTACCTGTCCGAGCACGGCGCCGGGGAGCTTGGCCATGAAGGCGTCCTCGATGTCCTTCCCCATGGGCGCGGCGCCCGAGAGCACCATCCTGACGGACGACAGGTCGTGGGACGCGGCGTCGTCGCTCTTGGCCACGGCGACCACGATGGGCGGCACCAGCGGGGCGATGGTGATCCGGTGGCGCTCCACGAGCTGCATCATCCTGGCGAGGTCGAAGCGGCGCATGACCACGATGGCGGCGCCGACGCGGAGGCCGCACATCATGATGGTGTTGAGCGAGTAGATGTGGAACATGGGCAGCGAGCACAGGATTACGTCGTCCGCGGTGAAGCCGATGTTGGGGTTGTCGCCGTCCACCTGCTGCGCCACGCTGGTGCTCAGGCTCCGGTGCGTCAGCATCACGCCCTTGGGGAGCCCCGTCGTGCCGGACGAGTAGGGCAGCGCCACCACGTCGTCGGGGTCGAAGCCCGCCGCCGCTTCTGCTGCTTCTTGGTCCTCGTCGTCGACGTCTTCGTCGGGGACGCTGGCCATGACGTCGTCCCAGAAGTGGAGGCACCCGTCGCGGCGCGCGTCGATGAGGACGACCGTGAGTCCGCCGTCGGCCTTGACGGGGAGCTTGTCCACGGCCATGTACTCCGTGAACACGACGGTGGCGCCGGAGGCCGCGATCTGGTTGGCGATCTCGTGCGGCGTGGACATCGGGTTGGCGGTGGTGACCGCGGCGCCCACGCGGGACGCGGCGAAGAAGGAGAGCACGAACTCGGCCGAGTTGAGCATGAGGTTCATCACCACCGCGCCGCGGCCGACCCCCAGCGGCGCGCGCCGGAGCGCCGCGGCTAGGCGCCGGGTCAGGCGGTCCACCTCGGCGTAGGTGAGCACGGCGCCCGTCGCGCCATCGATGAGGCAGGGGCGGTCGGCCACCTCGGGGTGGCGCTCGAAGCAGTAACGATGCAGCGGGAGGGTGTTGTTGATGGCGATGTCAGGGAGTTTGGACCGGAAGATGATCTCCGGCGACGCCTCCTCCACGACGGCCACCGGCTGCTGCTGCTCCTCGGTGGACCCCATCGAGATCAGTGTCACGCCAGGGACGGGACAGGGAGGGCTTGCTTGGCTGAGGTTTGCGTGTGCAAGATTTGCAGTGTCCGCTACTTGCTACTTATTGTCGTCTTTGCTACATACAAAGGCCAAAAGGGTGATGCATGATGCAGCATTTGGTGGGAAATCGCAAATTAATTGCTGAATAAAAGTGCCAAATGTGATGGACTGGGCTGGACTATGGGAGGGAGTGGTTTGTAAAATGTATATTCGTGGAGGGTTGCTGCTTGCAGTGTTGGATTATTATTAGGAGATGGTCACTGAGCTGTCTTGTCAGAAGGTCAAACAATAGGAATTTCGTGTAAGCATAAAATTTCAACTATTATACTGTACTAGGTTCGTGCCCGGCGTTGCTACGGTATAACTAAAATTTTGTACTAAAAACACACGAATCGCATGATAAGATAACAATACTGTAAAATTAAATACCGACGTTAAAGTGACATTTAATCCAAAAGCAAAGTTATGAAATTAACACAGTCACGAAAAGCGCGGCGTTGCAGGCTCACCAACTATAGACCTTTCTCTGCATTGCAACGGGAGCTTCTGAGGCCTTTGAGAGTCCTTCGTGTGTACAGAATACATCCATGTCTTCATGTTGGCTCTTCTCTCCCTCATCTAAATTCTCTATCGTTTCTAAAAGAAAATAATAAATCATCTATCGGTTTCATTATGGTCACTATAAAGGTGGAGAAAAACAGCAACAGAACATATGCCATGGAATTCAAAAACTCGCACGTTGAAGAAAATTAAAAGAAAAGTGAGAATTAGACTATAGGACAACGATTATTCTTTTAAGACAAAGATATATATTTGTTTAAATAATTAGGACTTAGTACACGTGATTTGTTTACAGGATGAGAATGATTTTAGCAGAGATGCAAATCTTACATGACCATAGACCTATTATTTAGACAAGATGTGAGGAATGGTACATACAAAGGCCAAAAGGGTGATGCATGATGCAGCATTTGGTGGGAAATCGCAAATTAATTGCTGAATAAAAGTGCCAAATGTGATGAAGGACTGGGCTGGACTATGGGAGGGAGTGGTTTGTAAAATATATATTCGTGGAGGGTTGCTGCTTGCAGTGTTGGATTATTATTAGGAGATGGTCACTGAGCTGTCTTGTCCGAAGGTCAAACAATAGGAATTTCGTGTAAGCATAAAATTTCAACTATTATACTGTATTAACTAAGATAGAAGCTGTGTCCAGCTCCCAAATCAGGGCCCCATTTCTGATTTGGGTGTTTCCCCATTTTTGGTGGCCCTCTATTTTGTATTTACTCCAAAAGAAGCCTCTAAAACAAAGCCCCTAAATTCTCTTAATAGACACTGACCACTGGGACTCACCTGTCATCTTCAATCCTCCACCATCTGAGCTATGGCAAGGCGCGCAGAGAACGGGAGAGGAGCTGGCATTTTGGGCAGGCCGAGCGCGGAGGAGAAGCCGGCGGGTGGTGGGGGGCTCAGGGACGGGAAGGAGTCGGCGGTGGGGCAGGACTGCCACCGCGTCCCCTGCAAGCCGGCCATCGGGAAGGAGCCCATGTAGACTGCATGCAACCCCATGACATGCGAGCAACGACCTAGGGAGGAGCGTCCTCGGCGCGAGAGGAGTTCGAACAGAGGCTGCGACTACCGGAGGGGAGGAAGGAGCCACCGCGTCCACGCGGGTCCTGCGTCACTGGCCATCGGGAAAGCTCGGTCCACAGGCATTCGATGCGGGTGACGGACCAGGGTCCTAGGGGTTCCCCACGGGGGTACTACCCAGATGGGCCCTAGGATGGCCCATGATCTATTGAAGGACGCAAGACAAGGTGGCGTGGACTTTAAGTAATTCCAGATCAACTTAGTCGTTTTACTATGAAAACTATATTCTGTAATAGGACTATGACTCTTCTCTTGTAACCGACTAGGACCAGATACATGCCCTTACCCTCTCCCCTATATAAAGAGAGGTATAACGCACCCCCTTGTAACCCTAACAATCATACAATCAATCCAACGCAAAAGGCTACACACCGACTGGACGTAAAGGCTATTACTCGACAAGAGGCCCGAACCAGTATAATTCGTTTGTCTCTTTGCATTTACTATCGAGTTCTGCGTATGCCGAAGCCCTTCGAACATCGTCCCGGGTAACCCCATGACGAGTTGCCGGTCATCAAACACCGACAGTTGGCGCGCCAGGTATGGGCTTTCGGTAACTTCGCGATTGAGAGCTCGGCGCCAAGCTCACTAGGTGCCTTCCATTCCCCTAGATTCTGGTCGAGCAAGTGGTCCTGATCACGGAGCTTCTGAAGGTGCTTCGGCTTCATACTTGGCGCCGGCCAGATCTTTGTAACACCCTCGGTGTTACACTATACAGTTTTTGCTATAACACTGCATGAGTATTATACTTATGTGTACTTGTGTGTAATATAAGGTGTGAAGCAATATACGGAACTTGAAACGTTCATTTGAAATGCACAATGCATGTTTTGTTTCATGTCACCGCTATCGCCACCGCGAGCCTGGTCGCTCGGCCGCCACCGCTGTCGCCGCGGGCCCGCTGTTCTGGTCACTACGCTGCCACCGCTGCGCCGTGTCGCTGCACGCGTTGAGTCATGTCACGCGCTACGGCAAGCCTGGCCGCTCTGCCCCGCCATCGCGTCCGCCTGCCACCTCGCGCTCGCCTACACGTGGCCATGCTTGGCTCTGCCCGCACATCACCTTGCCGCGTGTGGGATTGCTGCCTGCTCTTGCCATCACTTTGGCTCATCAACATTGAGTTGTTGCCTCCCCTGGCCGGTGCCGTCCACTATGTTGCAATGCCGTGCCGCTGTCGGCTTGCAGGTTATGGCATTGCGACCAAGCGCCTTGTGCATGTCTCGCTGTTCTCCTTCGCCCATGCACGCTTGTGCTTGGAGTTGATGGCCATGTCCCACCACGACAGCGCCGGGAAAACCTTACCTAACTTCCCTGTTCCTCGGTTGCTGGGCCATGCCGAGGCAAGTTCACAGCGTCGGCCAAATCCATGAAATTGCGTGCACCCGTGGATGGGGTAGACCCCTAGCTATGCGCCGAACACTTCCACTACTGCTGCCAGCCGATGTCAAGCCCCAATTTGAAGTTCCTTCACCGTCGGTCACTTTAAGACCCCACGGCAGCGCCCGTCTAATTCCCCAATCCCCGTCCACCACCATCCAATTTGTTGGCATGGTACCTTCACCCTGCTCCACTCTATCCCATGCGCACCCCATTTCGCCATGCTGCTGCCTGCTCAGCACTGCCGCCGTAGTCGCACCATCGCCGCCGTCGTGAGGCTTGCCGTGCGCGAGTGGCCAGGCTCGCTCGGTCAGTCTCCGGTCAAGCCACCATGACCGGTAGGTTCGGGGTGAGTCATTGTTGCCCATCCATGAGCTTGTTCACATTGTCTGTGCCTTGGCTCACGGGAACACGCTCGCTGTCGTAGGGAGGAGTACGCCGCCGTGGAGGGAACTCGGGACAATGTCTCCGTTCACCGTCTCACCTCCCACTGCTTCGAGTTGACATCGAGGTGAGCATTGGCTCCTCAGATAGGGCTGTGAGGGTCTGGTGTGGCCGGCGTAGCCGCCCGGTGCCAGCGCCACCGCGTCGGTGAGCGCACGGGTACCGAGGGACTCGGCCATGGTAAAGAAGAAAAAGGGGAGGGTGCTAGATGCAAAGACAGTGACTCAACTAAATAGTGTTCGAGTAAGCTTCATGAATAGAAAAGAAAATGGGGGTTCTTTAGCAAAGCGCCAACACTTGGCCAAGGCTGGCTCGCCGTGGGCCGTGTAAGCGTGGGCGCATTCAGCAGCGCCGTTCAAGGGCAGCGCAAAGGTGTGTCAAGTGTGAGGATGCTAGAGGGGCGCGTTCCTCGTGGGCCACGCTGTGAAATCTATTTTCCAATTTTCCAGTGAATTACAAATATTTATTCAATTTAGTTTGTAGCTGAACTTTGATAAATTATAGTAAATCTTGTAGATGTCCAAAAATAGTGAAACCAAGTTTGTTAGATTCACAAAAATACCATCTATTTGTTAGTGTAGTTAGATTACAGTTAGCTATGATAGTGATGGTTTCATAAATCCAAACTAGAGGGCTTAGTATTATGTAGATTAATATTTGGAGGAATTTTTGTGGTAAATTGGTGATAGCTATAGCTATGAAATTTTTACAGTAGGCTCATTAGATTCTTATGTACTTGTTGTAAATTTTGTAGCCCTAGAGTAGTTTGATGAATAGAGTAGCTATTATCCTTGTTTTATCATATATAGAGTAAATCGGTATTAGGAGTAAGAATACCTTTAGTTGTTATGGTATGGTTTGTCATGTTTCATACGTGTTAGTGGTAATAGTAGGTAACTTAGTACCTTGGTCGGTAGCACTAGCTTAGTAGTTAGATACATGTATTTTTATTTTAAGAGTTGATGTTGTCGTATTACTAAGTATTGCATCATCATTTCGTGCATGTAGATCACGAGTTGGTAGAGTTCATGCCCATAGACGAACAGGATTACGAGGAAGTCATGGAGGAGTACGAGGAGGAGATCCTCATGCAGGAGGGAGCCCCGAAGCCTTTTGGTGCTGATTTTGCTAACCCGCCACCTGCCCAAGGCAAGCCACGGTGCATAACCCATATTTTTATTGATCACTGAATATATATATATGATGCGCATTTACGTATAGGCATTTTATGAAAACTACATGCATAATATATCTACCTATGAGTCCTACTAGTATAGGTCGAGTAGCTGCTATGCTCAGGATTTCGGTAGCGCGAGTAACCTGCCGTTACTCGCAATAGGTGATAATTATGATCACTCATGATAAAGTGGTGGAAAGAAAAAGTGGTGACCGGACAGGGATATGGTTTGGGTATTGGTGGGTGTAAGAGGCTATGTCTTGTGGCCAATAGGGCATAGCTTGGTTACACTTTTTCCCTATCTGTGTCAATTAAGGACCGG